CTGGTATATATACGAAAGAAGACAATCATTACGATAGAGTTTAGCAAAAAAAAAAAAAAAAAAAAGAACCACAAGAACCCTAAGCAATTTATTTCTTTTTATTATGACAGGGCTGGAGATAGGGAGCACAAGTAAAATTTTCTAGACAAACGAAAAGATGTAATATCCATATCCCATATTAATCTCCAAAGCGAACGTAATTTTTCTTACGAAAAGGTCCATTCTCTCCCAAAAGGATAGTGATATAATTTTTATGCCCCCGTAATCGAAGATTAGGTGGTATATAGTTTTTGTCTTGTCCGTCCGTCTGTCTGTTCATCTGTTTGTATCCTGCAGCAGACATACGGACAACACATTGATAAAATTCTCCCTTCATTCAACTTCAATAATGGCAGTACTTAATTCCTGCACTTCAGATATTACAATGATCATATATTACAATAAGACAAAATTATGTTCTTTGAATAATTTATTAACGCTATTTTACAAATAAAAGCACTATAGATACAATAGTTAGCACTATAAAAGCAATGTTATTTTTATCAACTAAAGCATGGCCAGAGTCTGTTTTTGGTTTTCTACACTTTCATTAAACCGCTTCATCTTCTTCAAAATGTTCTTTTTATCAAAACCAGCTTTTCCCTCTTGATTCGACTCTTTAAACTTCTTGATGCGCAAAAGATTTTTCAAAAAGCCCATTGGTTTTTTAGCGGCATCTTTCTTATCTTTTCCATGGCTGCACACATTCGGAACTTCCTGGGTTGTTGCGGGAGTTAGATCTGCCCTCGTGCTTGTCCGTTGGATTGTCTTGGGTAGAGACTCGGGGGACTCGTCTTCGTAGATACACAAATCAATGTCTTTCATGTAAGAGTCCTCCAGAATAAAATCTTCTTCACTTTCCTGGATAGTCCAAGTGTACACGCTTTCGCACGAGCAACCCGAGTCCTTCTCGTCCGGGATGATCTCAATCATGGTGGACGAAGCTAAGGGATTTGCAAAGTAAATCTTGTTTTTCTGACTTACTGAATCCCTGATATTGCAACCCGAGCTGTAGGAAGTTTTTCTACTCTGGGATTTGTCTTCACACCCCTCTACTATCCGCTCCAATATTTCGCCATCGAGTTCCAAAGACGGTACACATTGGTCAGAATTCATGTTTGAAATGAGAGTGGAGTGTTCGACTGAAAATACTTGTATCTTGTTGTGAAATCAATAGATCAAATATGTAAAATATTTTTCAACATCTCTTTTTTATATACCAAGACTACTCATTAACCATTCCAAAACGTGACAATTGCTCTTCAAATTCTTGATGAAAATAACGGCATATGATTGGCTCGTATTCTATTTTAATAACCCGAGGCAATATCAGATAATATTTGTGTTGATTGTCATATCACCATTTCTATATTGGTATGTTTTTATAAACAACATTATGTTTAATTTAGTGTAATTAAGACCATGTGTTAATGTAATTAAGAAAAGATTACACATCTGTTACCACCTTAATTTAGTAAGAACATATGTTTTTCAATATGGTACATGTATTTAGACCATCACATGCACGTTGGCATAATTTGATATTCTTTTATTAATTAAAACAAAATTTTCCCAATATCTTATATATTAAATTCCAAATTATTAGGAAAAAATATTTTGGCGGAATTATCGTTGTAATTTTTTGCATTTATATTGTAAATTTTGCATTTATCTTTACCTAATAAATTCTAAGTTTATAAAATGATATAGTGTATACAATGTAATATTGAAAAAAATTAAAGAATATTTTAATTTTTCCTTCTTAAAAATGATATTTTAAATACTTTATTTCCATTACTTACTACAAATGGGAATGGACATAGAATATTGTAAACTTAGCAATCCCTTTCCTTCCATTTTATTTAAGAATATTTAAACATATGAGGCACAAATACTGAGGATGACACGATGGGTTACACATTAACTTACACTAACTAAAAATAAATATTGCATAAAGCAATTGCAAGACGTAATGACTTTATGACAAATATTTGTACAAGTAAAATATTTGATATTCTACCCCATCATTGTCAGAGGTTTTATTTAGAATTCTTTATTATAAATGATGTATTTTTTGTAAATTTTAAATCAGATGATAAGATTTATTCAAATAAATCAAGTTTGTTGAATTTTTAATATGAAATCTTGATTAACGAAAGATAATCGTTATTCAGTGATAAAATATATGTAATTTATCCAAGTTCGAAAACAGCTAATACAGTTACAATCAAGAAAAATAAAATATCATTATAAATAATTTCTTTTTCGCTATCCATACACATAAAATATTAATTCTAATAATTAATTGCACAAAAGTGTTAAATCTTATTCAATAATAACTTTAAAATACCATTTTGACACATTTTTAGTTGTTAATTAAATTTAAGTGTATCTCTTCGCCACCTGTAAGATGAAGAATTGCAATCGGTACCCGGAGGGGCGTCAATCTTCACGAATATTGGAAAGTGTAAAATAAATTAACACAAAAACACTTCATCAAGAGGTATTTAAGACACAATTTAGAATTATAATTAAGACTTTATTTACTATAAATATCTGTATTCATTTTTGAGATCAACATAAACTTCCATTCAAACAGTATAAAACAAATCAGTTTCTTTAGGCCGTTACAAACATGGAAAGTACTCTACTTTTTGATGGTAAGTCATTTAATTAATTAATATGTTTTTTTAACCACGCGTTTCATTATTTTTTTTCAAACTAATTTTTGTACGAATACTCAAATGAATCTTGAAGCACATGTTTTTTTTTTTTAAGTACAGTATGTATACATAATGCTTTCAGTGGGGTTATTAGGAAGTCAGGGTTTAATTATGAGACACGCGTTAAAAAAGCAAATGATGGGTATTACTTCATTGTTTATTTTCTAAAAAGAATATATATAAACATTTCAAACTCGAAACATCAAAACAATCGAGAACATTGAAATACAAAAATAGTCTCAGTAGAAAAAAAATCAAAAAATTACAGCGAAATATTTATAGAGAAATTCTTCTCTAAAATTAGGTAAACATTTTATCAAATACATGTAATTTGATGTTTCACGTAAACTGAGAAGAAAATAATTAATACGAAACATTTCATTCCAAATACTAACTCGAACATCGGTATTTTGAAAACTATGAACTTGTTCAAGTCTTTTGTAAGTCTCAACCGCTGTTTCCTTGGTACATTTTACCTTCAAACTTATGGGTTTTTTTCTTTACTGAATTTCAGATTCCACAGATATTTCTGAGATGTACAGGTCTAATCTAGAACCCAGAGAACAAATCTTCATCCTTCAAGCTGATATGGTAAGTTAATCTTTTTGAAGAAACATTGAAATTTATTTAAAGTATTTTGTCAACATGAATTTATGAAAAAAGAAGAAATTTTTCAAATTCTTTTTTTTTTAAACTCGCAGTTCTTGTATTTACAACAAAATAAATCTATTGTAGTTGGAAATAAAGAAAAAGGAAATGGAATTTCAAATGGAACTTGAAAATATAGAAAGGGGATTTGTTTCCATGATCGAGCATTGTGGAATCTCCTCAGACAATTTCCCCTATCCTACCCCGGCCAAGAAGACTTTAGGAAGTCCCTCCTTCCTGTTTTCCCCGCCTGGCTCCCTCACACGAGTAACTGCCATTTCCAATCTAGCTGAGGAAGATACATTTGACTTCAGTTCACATGAAAACAATGACCAAAGCCTTTGTGACGACACGGTGACCAGTTATATGACCGATGAAGACAACACAAATTTCTTTTTTGCCGAAACCGAGAAAGCTTTTGAGAAGGAAACTGGAACTGAAAAGAGAGTCGAAACAAGTCAACTTGTGCCCGTTTTGGATGTCGATGGAGAGAAAATTTATAGAGTTGTAGAGGGATGCGAGAACTCAACTGAGGATTCATTATCCAAAAACGAGAAAGAGAGATCTTATCCAAGAGCATCGTCAACCATGATCAGCCACAGGATCTCAGAAAACGCTGTGAAGAGTCAGAAGATGAGCAAACACGGAAGTCATCCACGCGCTTGCTCTACTTTGATTGGACATGATGTTCTAGTGGAAGAAACGATGGAAATGGATGAAAGCTGCTCTCAGATAAATGACGCTTCGTCTGGTACGTTATGCATCGATGACAGCATGGTTGAGGAGAGCAATATGTCCTTCTTTCGTCATGTTGATGATGACCTGACAAACATTCCTCTCACTAGTACCAGAATCAGCCTTACAAGTGATAGAAATGCTCACATTGTTCCCGATCTAAGTGATTCGTCGATCAGGATTTCCATTTATTCTACTAAGCAACAGAAGAAATGCAACAGACAATTGGCAATGAGAAACGTGAGCATATCTAGCTGCTCAACTCTTGGTTCAATGGGAGATGACTCTGTCTTCGAAAAACCCCGAGCAACCCAGAAGAAGAACACAAATGGCGCGAAAAAGAGCGGCTTACTCAGGAGGCAGTCCCGAAAAACCAAACTGGTGGACACTAAAGCCTTAATAAAGAAAATGAAGAACTTTAGCAACAGTTTTAGAAGTCAGAGACGCTAATACTTTATTGGTGATTTGACTCTGGCATAATTCACAATCGACGTGTTTAATTGTTCAGTGTGTAAACTGAGAAATAGTGCTACCTCTTGTATATATTTGTATAACCTAATTTATTTGACTTTGTAAAGAAGTGCTAAATGATTATATTATAATAAAATGAATATTTAAAAAATTCAAGACTTCATTAATTATAACCATAGAATCTAATTATAAGCAAACATCAATATTTATAACATTTTCAAATGCGATTAAACTGTGGATTGCAGACATATCTATCATCACTTTATCTTGGTGGTCAGTTGGACTTGACGTCAAAGATTCGGTATAGGATTTCCAGCAAACACGAGAAAACCTGAAAAATGACCGACTTGGTATGTCACCTGAATCATGTGTATAGGAACAAAATTCCATCTTTCTATTTCTTTATTCAAAATATGAATAATGTACAAAAATATTTCCATCAATAAATAGAATAATGTGGGAATTGTTAGCGCTGATGTTAATTTACATTTACATACAGTACTAAAACACGCAGAGAGACTGCACAAAAACAAGTAATGTTTAAATTGAAATTATGTAATCAGTATATATTTTATCAAAACAGTGACTATAAAATGTAATGATATTAACAGTTTTCAATAAAGAATTATCTTCGTTTTTTTTAAACAGTGATCAATAAAACTCCTCGTCAGAGAAATAATCACTCTCGGGACTCTCTGATCCAAAATAATCGTCGTCTTCATCTTCCTCATAATCGTCTGATTCCTCGCTCGATTCACTCTCTGATGCTGATCTTCTTGACGGTACAACGGGAGCTAAATTCCGAAGCTTGAACGTGAAAACGCACTCTGAATTAAAATCACATTTTTGCTTCAGTTCAAGCCGAACTTTGTCGACGAACTCTTGACCTCTGACCTTTAGGAGATATGGACAGCTTGGGTGCCAGTACGCATGATCTTCCCAGGGGTCAAAGTCGAACTGTTTTAGCTGCAGCACCCCGCCACATTTGAAGCACTGTGCCAGTTTGGTGTCATTTGTCAGAAAATAACCTGCTTCCGCAAGTTTTAGGGAAAAATCGTCGATGCTTACGTCAAAACCTTCTTGTAATCGTCTGCAAGATTCCAAACGGTGATGCATGTCAACATATTCAGACCTACCCAAAACAACCCCGGAGTCCGTAAAAACCTGACGAATAAAGAAATATTTCAGAATTCCCGTCAAATACACATCACCCTTGACGTAACACATAAGCTGTTCACCGCAACTTGGCCAAGGAACAATTTTTCGTACGAGTTCAGAAAATGCTTTTAAGTGTACCATTCCTTCACGAGTTTCGAATTCGTGACCGACTGCATGTTCCTCAACAGTAACACAAACTTTCACAATGTCTAATTTTCGCTTTGTTAGAGTGTGACATGTCAGTATGTCGGCGTGATGGTAAGTGTCGTACATATAAAGAGCCATGGTTTTCCAAGACAAGATAACTGCATTTTCTTCTAAAGAAACACCACACACTTTCTGGTAGATAGAAAAGAAATGCAGAACACCCAATTCCGCAATGTAATGCGACAATTTGTCCTTCTCACATAAGTAGAAGAAAAAGACCTGCCTCTGAAAGGATCGACTAATTTCATTTTCTTTGGTCCACTGGAATGTTCGAAGAAAAATCCAACTTCCGCTTCTTTTACGAGGTAAGAGTTGCCCGCCATTTTGGAGGGAAAATGTTTCTGTATTTAGCCTCTCTGTTGAGACAGATCCATTGTAATGCTTGATTGGATCCTTTGATCTGATTTTTTTGGTGATCGCCTCAAAGGGTACTATGTTTGCAATAACAGTCCACATTCTACAAAACGAAAGTAACATTAAAATTTACTGAATGGGTTCAGCTAGCATGCGATCAAATTGCTTGCACTGAGAGCAGGTGCCATTTCTGTTTATCCTTTTTTTTTCTTTGAAGATACAGTAACCTTTTTAAAGTGATATTTTAAATGCTCAATGTTGTTTGAGGACAATTTGTTTGATGCCCTGCTTCATTCATTTTACTTTACTTTTAAGATTATCCATTCAATGAATGCTAAACGAATTGCAAATTCACTGCGATGCATAATAACGTTAATTTTAAAAAGCAGTTCGCCAACCGGCCCAAAATCTTTTTATTGTTGGTATTTTTCCTGTGTAGTATTATAAGGAAATATTTTATTAAGCGAAATCAGTATAAATTCTGTACCGGTGTTTATATTTAAAAAAAAAAGGGGGGGGTACGCAAGTTACTGTTATTGTTATTTCCTTTATCTGTTCAATCATAAGGGATTGCTCCCGACGTGTAAATGTAATACATTGTGCATCTTTTATCTCAGGCACCTAAAATTCAGGTGCCTGTGTTTTTATTGAAAAAAATTAAATATAAAGTAGTACATATTAGTATCAGATGTTTTATGTTTACAAACGTTATCACTGTTATAGTTTACACTGATTATTGCAATGTCAGACAAACCACTGGCTCTTAAGGAAGGATCACACGCAAAAAAAAAGGTTGCGTACAACTTCTGTAAATAATGAAATGCTAGATCTACTTAAAATATTCATTTACTTAGATGTAATTACTTGAACACTGATGAATTATTGAATATAATAAATAATTTACTTTTTGATAACGAAGCACCAACCTTTACTTCCTTTATCAACAGAAAAGACATCTGTTTTAACCAAGTTCTGTCAGTTTAACACCACCACTCGATCAAAATGTCACACACAATTTCATCATACTTTTATACAGCTGTATTTTCTCATTTTTAAAAATATCGACAACGGAGTCAAAATTGCACAACAACTTCCCAATGTTTACAAAAGGCACGTCGAAACGGAAGTAAAATGTAGTAGATAGAGTTATCTCGCTTTTAACGTCAGACGAGATGAAAAATAGTGAAATGAGAATAAATGATGCAAATACACGTATACATTTCATAAAAAGTGAATAAATTGTATATTTTCTATCATATTCAAACCATCGTCCTTATAAAATACTAGAACTAACTTACATATCAATGAATGAAGCTAAATTTATTTCATTATATTGACATGACTTTGGTTGTTATTTTCATGATTATTGAAAAAAATAGTTCTAAATTATTTTGTTATACACCGGTATTGTTCCGATCAAATGTTTAATTATCAAGTTTATTCAACAGTAAACCAAATTTGAAGTCTCTTTGATTCATTCAAATGTTAAGTGGAAATGAAAGATTATAATATAATTTGTGAAAAAAGTCCAACAAAACCCGGGGTTGAATAGGGAGGGGGGCTTTCCACAAGTACATGTGGAATTCGAAATTTGGTACACAGATTTATTCTAAGAATGTATAGGTCAAGTTCTGTTTTGGGTATGATCGAGCAATTTTTGACAGAGTTGTGCCCTTTGGACGTAAAAATGTCTCACTTTTTTCCCAGCATTACTTTTACTATTGAAAATGTTCATTGAAAGGCTGGTTGGACCCCTCACTTTATAGTACAGAAAGTTGATATCAGATCAAATGTAGTAATGAATTCCAAAATATTGGTACTGAAAGAAAGTTGCCATTGACCAAAGTTGCCCCCCCCCCCCCTTTACGAAATAGGATTTTCGAGTTGGGGCAATTTTCCTTTTTTTTTTGTTTGGCTTGTCAACTTTTTCAGGTAATTAAGTCAAAAAAAAATTCTCTGGCTGTCCCCCCCCCCCCCCCAATTTCAAAAACGATGCTACGTGGCTGAATTCGGAAATATTAGAAACAACTTGATATGTAAATGGAAACTCTCTCTGTCTCTCATTCTGAAAGAGTCGCTATATACATAAGTTCTACCTGTTACTGTATGTGTATCTGATTAAACCCGGGCCTTTAAATACAAATTATCGACATTTGCAAAGAAAAGATAAAAACAGAACAAGTTTGTAACTTTGTTTTACAAGTACTTGTATATATTCTCTGGATGCAAATATCAGACTCATAAATCCGCTCTAGTTTTTTAGATTTAAATCACTCATGGATTATTTGGAGGATAGTATGAAGAAAAATAAATTTAAATTGCAACTCAGCGGTAACATAAATATCCTTGATGGATAAAGTTCTCCATAATACAAAAAGATTTATTGCTCCTGTTTATTCTTTTTTCTGAAATGTACTAAATAATTTGTAAATCAATAACCTAGACCTAGTCCACACACGAAACGTTTTTATTGGGGGTGAAATCACGGACAATCGGAGCTATAGTAAACTATAAATTAGCATTTAATTAAAACTAACATCTTTTGTATTCTAACCCAAGATTGCACGCCAGATTGAAAAATTAACTTATTTAAAAATCAATAAAAACCGTAATGATAGGATAAGTTATTAAGGTCGGATCGAGGCAATACACAATTAGCCACCCCTCACCGCTTGACAGAAAATGAAAGCACCAGTCATTGTTTAAAGAGCGCTACCGAGCAAAGTTTGAATAGCACTGTTTGTATATGTTTCACTTTAAATTCAATACATATCTTATAGATTACCAGTATAAACGAACTATATTCTTGGCTCGCATGCTCGTTTTCTAGTGTTTTAAAAAATTCACGGGGAACCTTGGATTTTTACCTGAGGGGTAGATTTTCATGATCTGATTTTTTGATATTAAGGAGGGACAGAAATGACAATGACTAGCATATCAGCGGTGATTAAGACCAATGTCCCCCGACAATCTATAAGGAAGGATTTTCTGAGTAAACTGACGGAATATCTTTGTGAAACCTATAACACAGAAGCTAAGGTCAGTTAGTCATCGGTTTATTTTTCAAATCTGTCCATATATCATTTAATTGCACATGTACCTTTTTAATTTGAGTTTCTTTTAATTTTTTGTGCTTGCCATTACAGTATTAACAATGAATGATAATTGGATACTTATGACTAGAAGGAGTGATCTTCCGGAGATCAAAATATATAATGTCCTGCATTCTGCCAACTCTTTTTTTTAAAGATTATCAACAGAGGAAGATCGATCTGAAAAATAACATAAATAGTATTCCATTTTAATAATTACTTTTTTTTGCTATGATCCAAATCATTGGTGAAAATATTTCTTTTTATTGAAAAATCAATTTACGAATTGAGAGTTACCTCTCTTATTCAAGGGGTTATTCCTCCTTAATCTTGTTGAGCCGAATGAATTCATTCTGCCTACATCCCTTAAACATGAACTCCATCATCTTTTGTGTTTATTTTCTATAAATTAAAAAAAGTTTGTTTAGTAAGGCTCGTTATTTCATTAGATAGCTAACTTTAAAAAGTATAGCGGGATATTCCCATACTGGTACAAAACATCTTTTCAAAGTCAAAATTAAGAAAATTCTGAGAGTACACGTATTTAGCAATAATATCCCCAGTTTACTGTGTCTTGTGATGTAAATTAACAAAAATATGCAATATTTTAAGCAATGATTATTGGAACAATTATTTTTCTCTCAGAGAGTAATAATTGAAATCCACCCGGACACTCCCATGATGACAGGCGGGCTATCGGCTCCCATGATGAATATTGAATTTTATCACAACTCCGACGTCATCTCACAGACAACGAAACAGAAACACGCATCAGGAATGGCCAAGTTTATGGCAGAAGAACTCAGAATTCCAATTGACAGGTATAACCCTCAAGAACTTAGTACTTTGTTCTTTTCCTTAGGATATTTCAGTATGACACATGTCACACAAAATTGCTTTAATATCGAATTTTAAAGTATCATATTTGTTCACAATGAAATTAAAGTGTCAAGACTCTCGAGTTTTCGAGATCATTACTACGTATTTTATTCTGGACATCACTATTTATTCAAATATTCATATCAAGATAATCTTACTTATTGATTTTAATAAAAATTTTACCTCAATCTTCACCATCGACAACGACGACAGACAACGGACAAATTTTGTTCAGAAAATCTCACTTGAGCCTTCGGACCAGGTGAGATTAAAAAAAGGGGGGGGCAAAACTTTTCTATTTAAACTTTTCAATACTGAACTGATTTTTGCAATTGCTTTAAAAAAATTTTTGAGCTAAACAAAGGGGGGGGGACCAAAATAGATACCCGGATATCAATCCAGGTTTTTTTTAGACCATTGAACGTCGTTTGCGTCGTTGTTGTTGTTGTCGTCGTAAACTTTTCACATTTTCATCTTCTTCTCAAAAACCACTAGGCCATTAAACAACAAAGCCGTTATGTGTCATAATTCAAAAGCATCCTTTGGAAGTGAAGATTTAAGTTTATTCAAATCCCCTCTTCCCCGAACCCACTTTTATATTTAAACTTTTCAATACTGGACTGATTTTTACTTTTACCTAGCCAGTTGCTCAGATGAGCGATGTGGTCCTTGGGCCTCTTGTTTTAATAGACCTGCTATAGCTACTTGATAACATGTTCACCAAATATAAATACATGTAGTATCATAAAATAAGTAGGTTATACTTTAGGTCTTCAAACTTAGCTAAGGACCTCGGAGAAGAACTTTACATGTACTCTTTACTTTCTTTATTTCAGAGTTCTGGTTTTATTCTTTGACACAAGGAAATGCACTTGAAGGATGATTATTTTTTAGTATGCACTTATGAACTTTAGCAGGAAGAACTTTTTTTAATGTGCTATCAACTGTTGAATTGAATACATGTACTTTTTATGAGAACTTGTTTTACTTTGTATAACATATTTAACATTGTTTATCAAGAATGAATAAATGAAAATTATAAAATGGACAAGAAATGTTTTTACAAAAGGAATTTTCCTTTTTGTAAATGTTTTAAGAAAATTTAGAGAGAGAAAAAATATATCAAACAAAAAAACCCCAACAACAAACAAACAAAACAAAAACAAAACTGTGAATGTTGCTTCGGGCACGGTGATTGAGTACTCCTCAGATGTCTTTATCACCTTATTGACCTCAAAAACAGCAATTATCATAAAAGAATCCATACTGTTGGCCGTTTCCAAGAACAGAAGTGTGAGGAGTCCCTCAAAGAACAACAAACCGAATAACACATGATCTTTTGATTTGTTTATCATTTCCATTTTTCCACCCATAGCAAATTAAATATTGCTATGGTAAAATGTATTTATATATTTATTTATTTAGATAAGAATGGACGGAAGATTTTTTTTTCACATTTCCTCTTCTTGCTGTATATTAGTTACCACACAGGTCTTGGCAAAATTTTCATTTTATTTTATTCTTGTAAACATATCACAGGAAACCATGATTGCATACATATAAAACAGTATGCAGCAGATAAAAAAGCAAAAACAAACAAACAAAAATCAAGTGATAGGGGCCTTTAACCTTTATCTAGAAATATGAAACTTGAAAAAATCTATTTACACAAGAATTCTCATCAACAACAATAGCATTAGATCCAACTGTAAAAAAGTTTAAAGTACGAAGCGTTGCTTACGTTTTCAGAAATGAATGATGTATATAATATAATCATGATATGAAAAAAATTGATACATTGAATATAGAGTTCAATGATTTATCACCTCAACACAAAATTAAAAATATGAGGTATATGAAAATAATATTTATTGTCATACATATTTGGTTCATACTAGAACACACAATGAAACATTGCTTTTTAAATCAGAATATAACGCTGATGACTGTACATGTAAAAACGCATCCATCCACAAGAGTTATCTTAAAATAAATATTGGAAAAAAGAATAGTAATCAATACTTGTAACATGCTTCAGATACGCAGATGTAGAGGGGGTCCGGAACCCACCCACCCCCGATTTTGAGGAGTTATTGAACGTATATATTTAACCAATAAAACGTGACTTGGAACAACAACCCCCCACCCACCCCCTTTAGAGAACGTGGACCCAAGTGAAGTCGGTAAAAAGAAGTCATAGACATGAAGGTTTGGAAACGAACGATTATCAACCAAACCAACAACATCAAATCGGTTTTTCGTGTTTGTGAAAGGAATTTCTTGGTTGGATTTCTTTCACTGGTACTCCCCCCCCCCCCCCGTAACAATCCTGGATCCGCACCTGCTTCACACTTGATTGAATTGACAACAGAATTATCCCCATTTCTAACTCAGGTACGGCAATTCATTGTATAGATTGGAATAATTTCCCTGCATGAAAGTTATCTCTCTTATCAGAGGGACATTTCACCTTAACAAGAAGTTGTAGAAAGACACGAAGACTCAAAATCTTTCACAATAGGTAAATGAACATTGTTTTTAGTTATAATATTATTATTCAATACAAAATGTTCATATAGATAAGCTGGTGCTTATGAGGTTATACATGTAACAATAAAGATAGACACGATTTTATCTTATGAAAGATGTTTCTAAATCTACGAGGGGTGATCAAAAAGTTCACAAACTATCTCTATATCTACAAAACCACAATTCAGATTAGAATGAAATTCGGTACACACATAGCCATACACAAGGTCTATAAATAGCATATGCTGAATAAAGTTTCTCTCCTTGTTTGTGACGTCACAATGTGAAAATGACGTCACTATTTTGAGTCACAAATGTTTAGTGAACAAAATATATTCACCAAACGACTGTACAATTTATTGTAATCTCTTAGAAACCCCTCTACAGTATCATATAATAATTTGTACACAGTTTATTGAAATAAATGAGTTCCTATGAATTCAATTAATGATTGGATTAATCGTTTTAGTGAAGGAAGGCTGATGGTTAAAAATGATACTTGTCATCTTGCCCAGTGAAAGCAAGTTTGAAAAGATATGTATTTTTAATTAAACAATTTGCTATCAAAGACCTCCAGTTAACACTTTGAAAAATAGTTTGAATATTTGAACAATGATATAAGTATTAAAAACCTAAGATATCGTTTACTTTAGATTTTAAACATATTAGATATGATAAAAAGGATGCACCCATTCTCTATCCACCTTGAATAAATTTTAAGGTCTCTCCCTAGACAGAAGATTTGTGTTTTAATGGTCGCCATGCTTATTTTTGGAAAGGATGTTATTATCCACCAATTCTGTTGCCGAGATATGACCATTTCTGACAAATTAACTGTTCTTGTCATAAAAATAACTCACATGGAAAGAAATATAAAACTCGGAAAAATCTTTTAACTTTTGTGACAGAACGCTAAAAACGTGACCGCCAATATCACGTGATTCGCGCATGCGCAGAACGGTGGTTGATGTGCATTAAAATCGGGTAGGATTAATTTAAAATATAATCAACATTAAAACCAAATATTGTTTCTTGTATGGAAGTTATTCAATTAGTTTGCGAACTTTTTGATCACCCCTCGTACACTTCAATCCACTAAAATTTGTCACTTCACATATTTATATTCACCATTGGAAGAAAATGTATATAAGGCATTTATGTTTGAAAGTTAGCCGATGAAAATATTCCCCCCCCCCCCCCCCCCCCACCATTTATTTAATAAATGTATTTCAGTTTTAATTAAATCATCATGGAGACATACCGGTATGACTCTAAGTTTTCAACAATCTAATCAAAATTAGATGTTAGATCCGCTCGCAAACTTGCTACACTAGAGAGTATGCGAGCGGATCTCACATCTAATTTTAATTAAATTGAGTTTTTAATAAATTAATGCATATTTCAGAAAGTCCTTTAAATATCATTAAAAATTATAACATAATTAATTGTACATGTACTCGATCTTTGTTGTACACTCCAAACATGGGATAGAGACCTGCGGAAAAGTCCACAAAATCCATAGAGTAGATCAGTCGTCCACTGAAGTACTCACTAAAAGTAACAATACCACGCAAGGCCTTAATGTGTATTTCGAACGCCAGGGAGTATATAGTCCCAGCTGATGCTGTTGACACCGGGTAATACTCGTTCTTTAATTCGTGAAGGAGAGACTTCGAAACAAACGACAATACTATCATGTCATTGTACTTCTGTCCCTGCATCCCATAACAGTTGTCACCATAAATCATCTTATCAAAATCTCGTTTTGAACAGAGAGAAAAGTCAAAAATTAAGATTTGTTCTTCCAGTGTTTTCTTTATGTGAAACCATACCATGAATTTGAACTTTAAATTATCAAATAAAGATATTTTGACGTTTCCCATAATTCCTTTGTAGATGATGAGAGGGAAAATTCCTGGACCAGGCTTCGCTGACGGAAAGTAGTAATTGCTAAGAACTTTCTCGTCCTTTGATATGTACAAATCACTGTGTAACGAGAAACTGTTAAATGACATGGAACCTACAAGTAAACAAGAGGCCCATGGGCCACATCGCTCACCTGAGTAGCTTTGACCATGCTGTTCATTACCAAATTCCCCCTTGTAATACATATTGTGACCCCACCCTACCCCTCATAATTTGGAAAATTTGAAATCTACACTATCCCAGGATGCTTCCACATAAGTTTCAGCTTTTCTGGCTCAGTGGTTCATGAAAAGAAGATTTTCAAAGATTTTTCCTATATATTTCTATGTAAAACATTGATTCCCCACTGTAGCCCCGCCCTACCCCCGGGGGTCATGATTTGAACATTTTAGAATCTGCTCTATCCCAGGATGCTTCCACATAAGTTTCAGCTTTTCGGGCCCAGTGGTTCTTGAGAAGGAAATTTTCAAAGATATTTCCTATACATGTATATTTCTATGTAAAACTTTGATTCCCCATTGTGGCCCCGCCCTACCCCCGGGGGACATGATTTGAACAATTTAGAATTTACACTACCCCAGGATGCTTCCACAAAAGTTTCAGCTTTTCTGGCCCAGTGGTTCGTGAGAAGAAGATTTTTTAATGACCCGGCCCTATTTTTGACTTTCCTTGATTATCTCCCCTTGTGAGGGGACTTGGCCCTTCATTTTGAGAATTTTAATTCCCCTTTACCCAAGAATACTTAGTGTCAAGTTTGGTCAAAATTGGCCCAGTGATTCTTGAGAAGAAATCGAAAATGTGAAAAGTTTACAGACGGAAGGACAGCTAGACGGACAGAGGTACGGAATACGGACAAAATGTGATCAGAAAAGCTCACTTGAGCCTTCGGCTCAGGTGAGCTAAAAACAAGATGAAAAGTTTATTTGGATTACTGCATGTAGATAAAGAAACATTTGTTAAAAAAATCTGAATTGAAATTCTTTTTAACTGTTAATGTCCATGTTACACTCTCTAATTACAATCGTAGTCTTGTGGGTCAGGGAACATTTTGCACAACAGAAAATCTTTTTCACACGTCTTTTATGTCGTTTGCACACGATAATTTTCGGTACAATTTAAGCCCCCGAAATAGAAGATGAGAACTGATATTCCGTGTGACCTTTCCACCTGTATCAAAAAGTTTCACCCTTTGACCTTGCCCTCCCCACAATAAAACAATTGTCTTATGGCTTACAAAAGGTCTATTTTGGTGTACTACATATTTCAGAAAGGGGAGCGCATATTGCAAACAGTGTGCATATCTTGTAAATGCATCCCAAAGCAAATTAATTATCTAAAACAAGATACTCAGATTAAAGATGATCAGATGTTAATAATTTCTAATTCCACAGGTTGGATTTTGAATGAAAAGAACTTTTAAGAGTATATGGCAAATTCCTATCTCTTTTTTTCTTCATTTATCGAGAAGCCGTTTTCCAATTCATTGATTAAATGCTGCGTCGAAACTCTCTATATGAGTATCTCAACTTTTTCATTCCCATAATTCAGTCTGTGTTTTATTTTATTGTAAAGCAAATTTAAAGAACAGTATACCGTTAAAATCCCCGAGCCAGTTTCGAGCTTTGTGCATCAACAGGTTGATCTTTCCAGTCATAGTCGGTATCACAGCTTCCAGTTCTCGTCTTGTGACGTCACACTTGGCGTCCACGGAGGACACCAGAGATTCCAAGTCGATGACCTGCTCCTGTAGAGACTCCATGGTCTCCTGAATTGTAGTTACCGAGTCCTCCATATCTCTGACGTCACTCCTCAAGCTAGTTATGTTAGACTCAGACAAAGACAATGATTTTGTCTTCTTGGATTGGATTTCATCCACTGCAATGTTTGTCTTTTCCATCTTTTTCTTGATTGCGGCAATGTTCTCCGTGCTTGTCAACACAGTACCACTTAGTTCATTTAACTGTCGGTCTAAGGAAGCGGTTTTTTCTAATGCTTTGTCGAGGAGCAATTTGTACTGTTTTATCTGTGTTTCTTGGCGATAATAAACCCCCACAATAAAAGATAAAATAACCCCAATAAGGGGATACTTTATCCAGTCCATGACTTCTCCACTTTCGTTTCTTAGAGGAAATTCACAAGGAAGTTAACGGTATTTAACTGAAATATGATAGTCAGTTTGATCTTATATTTAGCACCGACTCAATGTCTTTTTTGTGTTGTGAATTACAAATAGAATTTATATAATAAATGTTATCTGATCATATGGGCAATTGTTTTATATGTTTCCAATTTGATCTGCTGATGGTAATGACTACCGAGTCCATTTATGCTTTTAACCTGTAACGTAATTCTTTGGATAGTAGTTTCGAATAAGATATTTCAAAGTGAGGTACGATCTGTTAGCCCAATATCGTATATATAGGACAATACCAATGCTATTTTTGCTCTTCGGATCCTTGTGCCACTATACCAATAGCATTGATTTCAATTTCCCGCACCTGGGAAATTCTGAGCAAAATATTGTTTTTTCGTATTTTATCCTTCTACAGATCATGATAAAGTAGAAAATATATTTTTGGTCGCTCAAATTCTTTCATGTTCTGCTTAAAATTTTTGTCTATATGAAGTATAAATAATATTATTTTCTAGCAATCGCTCGCCGCTCGCACTTTTTTCAGCAGATGTTCGACTAAGAAGAACATTAAACCAGTCTCGCTAACCTAAGTTTTGAATTTCTAGTTTTTTATCCCTTTTTGTAACTTTTTAAAATTATATTTTATTATATTATGTATATAAATGTATATTATTATTAATTTTATTTTTTTTTGCCGTTTTATTTAGAATTCGATCGCTGAATGAATATTTGACAGACCGGAGAGCTGCAGTGTCCACCATTGAATAAAAACTTGTATATTTATTTACGCTTGGTTCTGCATTAATTCTTCCAAATTCTTAACTCATGCAATTTCAAAGAAGCTAGATTTCAAACAATTCCTTACTTCTCTATCAATTACTCTCGTAATAGACATCTGCACAAAGCACGTTAGACAGAATAATTATCTTGCAAACCAAAATGGCAGTATAAGTAGACGATATTTTCGATAATTTCAATTTTAAGGCCAGGAGGGCTACATGTACATCTGAATTTTCCTTCTTCAACTACTAATTTTTCTTCTTTGATATCAAAAAAATTTTCTTGTGAATTTCATTAACAATCCGTGTTTATATGCCTTGTGAGTTCTGTAAAATAATTCTTAAATGATAACAAATCAAAATCATGAAAATTTAAAAACTGGGATGCTGGGCTAATCCGACGTTCTTTCTCATGAACACACAAACGTAAAATGTGTATATCAAAAATACTGGTAGGAAGGAGAGATTATCCATGCGGTCACCTGACAAAAACTACATTTTCTATTGGTTTACATGTAATTAAAAATCATGCATGAAAATTTGTGACATGACGTTTGATTGGCCATGATAGAAGAAAGTTACTAAATATTTATTATGATGTATCCTGATTCATTTGGACGAAGATACACCAAAATAAATATACAATAACTATTACTTCAATATACATTTAATTTAAAATGATGAAATCGCCTTGGTGTTCAATAATTTATTTACACGGCACAGTTTTTGCTGGCTCCGCTCATCGATGTATCTCCAGTTATTGTACATTTTACTTCAAAGGAAATTCACCGCAGACATGATGCAAATGATGATTTTCAAATAAATTCTTGTACAGAATATCAATCTAAACTTGTCTTCATTAAAATGGGTAGAAATAATTTGTTTATTCTTTGAGCAAATAAAAAGTATGAAAATTGAAGCGAAGAATGTCGTATCAAGTTTCTAAGTGCATGTGCACACCCTGTATACACAATTAAGTGCATTCGTTTCAAACTATATGACACTAGACTGGGTATGTATTTCTGTTTCTCTGTTATTGTCGCGCCCTTTTTTCTTCACGGATAACTCAACATTTCGTTTGTAGTTGAAGTGTAGAATTAGAAAGTCGGTCACTACAGCTAGTTCACTGATTCTCACTCGAATGGAAATATTCCGTGGCGTTTTCCTATGTCTTGGTATATGGATGGTTGAAAATTTTACAGGTAATATTTTATAGAATTTGTGAAGTAGAGGTTACTGAAAGTAACACAGAAGAGAAAATTTGTGAAATTGACTTCTAATAGTGTGCTGTATGTGTATTGTTGCTAAGTCAAGCATGTCCACTTTGTGTATGATTTGATGTTATTACACGAACATGGAAAGATACATGTATGTAAGGCTTGAAACCTGATATCATCTGGTCCATTGGCGGATCCATGAGGGGTCAGACCCGCCTCCCTTTATTTTTGCAAAGAGACAGAGACAGAGAGAGAGTTCTATTTGTAACATAAATATTTTTACGTCTAATATTTTGAATAAAATAAGTACATGTTCAATACGAGCATCTTCCCCAGTAAAGGGATTTTGATCCGCTCCGCTCCATCAAAAACCTTTGACTTGGGAAGATGACACACACGTAACATGCAAGGTTTCAATTAGAAATCTGCGGAAGATGCCGGCAAATTAATTATGCCATTTTAAAGCCATCTTCATAAAGATTTATGAAAGGGAATATGCAGAAGAGAATATTTCTTTCCTTATATCATGGGGATAATTTAATCAAGAAATGTAAAGAAAAAAAAATACTACATGTATGCGGGGGGGGGGGGGGGGCTCACTTTTTCTGATAATAATCTTTTGCTGTAGTTTTGATATGTAAATTTTGATTTGAACTGACTATATACCCTCCCGCTTTTCTTGCAGGTGGTGAAAATGAGCCAAAATGCAAGCCTTCGAAAGAAATAATGGTCCAAAGGTTTTGACACCCCCCCCCCCCCCCGAGATAGAATTATAGAATTTAAGGTGTGGTGCACAAGTTGCTTGTATGTGATTTTGTTTAATTTTTTTTTGTTTGCAAGTCAACTTTTTTTAGGGGTTGCCCCTTTGAAAACCGTTGCTATGGACTTGGTCTTGAAATGCTTGTTGTGTGATTCTATGCATACCGGGACAAAGAACCTGGAGACTCTCCTTTTCAAAAATTGCCGGATCCGCCCCTGTGGCATAATATACAAAAAGGAATTATGTTGGGTTTCATGAATCCTAACGTCATGTCACATAAAATCATATATAATGATCTTCACTGGAATAAATTCTCTCAGCAAGGCATCTTAGAAGGACATTCACTGGAAAGAAATCTTATGAATATAATAAACCAAACAAATAAATTTTTGAAAAGCAATTTTCTCAAAATATTCTTTTACCATTTGTATTTAAGTTCAATGCAAAAAATGAAATGTATTAAGGTAATATAAATTTAGTTTAGCTCGACATAATACTCATTAATTTGAACCAAAAAAAACAAAAAAACAAACAAAACAAAATACAAAAAGCTATGATGACCCACCTTCTCTAGGTTTTGGGAATTCTTTATCCTCATCAAGGTATATTATTTTCGTTTTAACTGAATTAATTTATAATATAAACAAACACATTTCAAACTCAAACTTTCATGATGTATACAACAGTATTTTGCTTACTCAAATAATTATATCATATTTCAGTTATACTTTATAAATTACCATTCAATAAATATATAAATATAATTTTTTTTTTTGGTTTACTACATGTTATAGGTGTGTTGGGTGAGTGTAATGGTACCACCTTAACTGTTGCCGTGCCGGACTTTGACAGGCTTATATTTACCTACCCCATTAATTCATCGGGAAACTATGACAGGTAAGAAATTCATTTTATTCTACATTAGTACATTTGTACCCATGTTAAATGGGATGAAACACTGCCGTAAAGCCTCATCTCTGTGTCTATCCCAAAATCTACCTTTGATAATGATTAGGTATTATAAATGTGGTTCAATGGTTGTCTCTGATTGGCCTAAATAAACAATTTCTCAAAAACATTTTTTCCGCCCACTTATATATCTTTAAATTTCATATAGTTTAAGAGTATGAGCATTTAAGCTCAAATATCCTTTTGCACTTTTTTCTGTACTCTCGAAAAAAGCCCGTTTCCAGTGTATTTGTTTACTATATATTATTATTACAGCAAAAAATTGCTAAAGATTTGGCATTCTGCAATATTTTTGACAATTAACGTATACAAGTACATGTATATTAAAGTCTTGCTTGTCGTACATTTTCCTTTCTGGAAAACGTTATTCGTTAAATAAAATTTTATTTTCTTGTTTGCTGATCCAGATATTTAAATTGCCAGTGGTTATTTGAATCGACAGACACAAGCCTGGTCTTCATATTTCAAGTGACGGATCTATTGGTTCATTGCGGAGACATTCTTAAAGCTTATGATGGTATGTTGTTCTTTTTAGCTCACCTGAGCCAAAGGCTCAAGTGAGCTTTTCTGATCAAAATTTGTCCGTTGTCTGTCGTCATCGTCGTTGTTGTCATTGTCGTAATCTTTTCACATTTTCATCTTCTTCTCAAAAACCACTGGGCCAATTTCAACCAAACTTGGCACAAAGTATCCATGGGTGAAGGGGATTCAAGTTTGTTCAAATGAAGGGCCACGCCCTTTTCCAAGGGGAGATAATCATGATTTAGAGAAAAATTATTGGCATTTTTTAAAAATCTTCTCCTCAAGAACCACTGGGCCAGGAAAGATAAAAATGTGGAATCAATTCCTCAGGTAGAGTAATTCAAGTTTGTTTCATGACCCCCACTTATATAGGGCAGGGCCATTAATGGCCGATCAAAAGTTTAACATAGGAATATATAGGAAAAATCTTTAAAAATCTTCTTCTCAAGAACCACTGGGCCAGGAAAAATGAAACTCAAATATCCCTTTTGAGAAGATTCAAGTTTGTTGTCATGACCACCGGGGGTAAAAATGGCCGATCAAAGTTTTACATAGGAATATATAGGAAAAATCTTTAAAAATCTTATTCAAGAACCACTGGGCCAGGAAAAAAAACTCATGTAAAGATTCAGGTAGTGTAGATTCAAGTTTGTTTTTGACCGAGGGTAGGGCGACGTATACAATCAAAGTTTTACATGAATATATATCTTTAAAAATCTTCTTGTCAAGAACCATTGAAACAGGAAAGATGAAACTCATGTGAAATTATTCAGGTAATGTAAAATTTTGTTTGACCCCGGGGTAAGGGTGTGGCCAAAATGATCCAGAGTTTTTAAATATGCCAGTGGAAACCTTTTTAAATCTTCTTTTCAAGTACTTAGCCAGGATTAGTAATATTTGTATGAATCATCCTCAGGTAATGTAGATTCTAGTTCGTTCAAATTTGATCCCCTTGGGGGTTAAAATTCAACCCCCCCCAACTTAAATTAACTTTCAGTTCTGATCTGATATGTGTTTGTAGCTGATGTTCTTTTTAATAATGTACTTAGGATTATCATGTCAGAAGATACTTATTTCTGTGAAATCCGAATAGGGCCATGTAGTTCACTATAGCTATTGCATCATCGAGCATCGATTGAAAAGTCGGTTGAGCGATAATGCGATGACGATGAAGTGATGACAATGATGCAATGGCGTGACAATGCAATGGCAGGATGGAGCGATGGTGAACATCGATTCATTGTCATCGAACTATCTCGCCATCGTCATCGCACCATCACTATCGCTTTATCGTGCCATCGCTTCATCGTCTATTATCATCACACTATCGCTGCATCGTCCTGGTAATATTGACCCAAACTTCGATGGTGCAATAGTGAACATCGTGCTCCTATCCGGACTCCTAGCTATACAATTTCATTGAATTCATTTCATAAAGAAACCATCTAGATGTAATCACCAAAAATTATATTTTACAAAATCTCACTGTATGTCCGGTAAAATATTAAGGATGTCAAATTCACTTTAAAGGTACAAGTCTGTCGGCTCCGGATCTGACTAAATCAATTTGTTCTAACTCTGGTTCGCCCAGTACCACGCCTCTTCACACGACGTCTTCCAATCAAATGCTTGTTTACTTTGATACAGACGGTGTTTCACATGATAACCTGGAAAAAGGTTTTGTTTTCAAAGTAATATCTGCAGAACCAATAGGTGAGTTGTTAAATGCTCTGTAGGGTTCATTTATGCTCTTAAATTAAATTTAATTTAACATTATGAAATGAAAATTTAAATATTAATTAGATTTACATATGTGCATCTTTTGGTGTATTATATTTGATGTGACGCCAAATATAAGATATATGGCCACGGTGACATTACTTTTGGATAAACCCTTGTAGATTGGTAAACAGAATAAAATTCTTTTTCTCTACAGCTTACGAGTCTGAAGCCTGTAATTCCAATGTGAAAACTTTGACATCAGCCTCAAATGAACAGTTCTTAACATCACCATTCTTTCCTGAAAAATATCAAAGGTATAGCAATACATCTCTTTCATTTTTAGGGGTGGAAATAATTCGATTTTTTCTATGTAATTCTCAGATAATCCATGGTTCCCGAGTCAACATTTGGACCATGCCAAATCTCATTCGATAATTAACAGTCTGAGTGCAATGACGTCTTTCGGAGAATATACAAATCTCGGTTAGTTTTTTCCGGGGACAAGCAGCCTGTTAACATGTGCAGGTATCAAATGCCTACTTTCTGTTTATGTTTATTTCTGCAGAAGAAAGCCCCGATCTGATTGGAGCGTCTAAATGTGTGAAAGACGTCTTTTTCTGCCCTCTCGTCTCCGTCTTCCTTTAACATTGCCTTGCAGGCTTTTCTTTGCAAGGCTCTTCAGCAGGGAATGTGGCCATGTCACTTTGATTTCCGCTTCCCGACAACAGTATGGAGGTCACGGTGAGCTCCCATAGCATCCGAAACTTTCCTGTGGACCTCTTCTTTGGTTCACAAGATCTGTGTGATGGATGCTTAGTATCTTCGTGTTACATTTTATCTCGGTACTCACAATCCTCTTTTCTAGCTCTACAGTGAGTGTCCCGGTTTCACAGGCGAACTGGCATAGTAAGGGGTCAATGTTTGGATCTTCGAGCGCAGAGTGATGCTCCCATCTCTCCAGATGACTTGTAGTGTTGCTTATGCTGAAGTTTGTGCAAACCTTGCTATAACCTCTGGTTTGGAATCTTCGTCTGATATGATGGAACCGAGATACTTTCATGACTTCACTGTTTCCAGACAGGTTCCTCTTACCTTAATTGATGAGGTGATTGACCATGATGTCTTGGTTGTTGGTCGTCACCCATTAGTTTTGTTTTTCTGCACTGATCTCCATTCCAAATGCAGAAGCCGCTCGGTCAAGGTGTTTCACCAAATAGCCCATATTCTCTGTAAGACTATGTCTTCAGCGATTTGCAGATTTAGGACGATTTTTCCTCCGACAGAGGCTGCATTTGTGATTCAGAGAGCATCTTCCATAATTCTATTGAAGAGGATGGGAGAAAGCAGCTTGCCACAATCTGTCGAAGGCTTTCTTGAAAACATCGTACAAATGATAATTTATAAGGTCTTGCTGGTGCTGCAGATACCCGTATTTCTCGCAGATTATTCGTAGATTAGATATCTGTTTGGTCCTGTTTTTCCTTGTTCTAAATTCTGGCTGTTCTTTCTTCTACAGGTTTTCAGTCTGTTTAGTAGGATCTTCAGCATCACCTTACTTGGATGCCTAAATACGCTGGTAGTGCGATATAGTTGTTTAACTGTAGGTTTCCTTTCTTTGGTAAGGCGATGATTAGTGATTGTGTCCAGGGCATATTCCAGTGCTCCATGTATTATTCCAGATGGTTTTAAGGAATTGATCATTTTCTCTTCTCATGCCTCAACCAATTCCGAAGGTATGTTGTTAATAGCACTGACTGCCACTTCGACCTCCTCCCGAAATATCGAGAATGAGTTCTCCTCTTGATCCGCCAATGGGCAGCTTAATACTGCTTGAATACCCTTGAGCTAGTAGTGGTATAACTCAGAGCAGCATTCTTTCCATATGTCAAGTATATATATCCCTCTCTTCAGTAAGATCCGTTAGATATCGAATGAAATTTGTCATGGGTCTAACGATAATGTTTTGACTCAGGACCCTTGACATTGTGAAGGTGGAAGTAATAGTTTCACTTAGACACGGTTGAGATGGAAACTATTTTACCAGAAAGTGTCATCCTTTTTTTGAAATCAGTAATGACTTTTTCAAATTTGTTTACACATTCTGATATACTAATACTAGTATTTTAAAGCGATCTATTTGATATTTGTCGATGTATTCACTTACGAAATTAAATTATTTGCACAGCAACATGTCTTGCTCATGGAACATCACATCGCAGCCACCAGACTCTACGATGGTGATTACTGTGCGTTTTCTGGACACAGACACAACGGTTGATTCTGTATGCATAGATTATATAACTTTGAATGATGGTAAGTATCGTAGGAACTAGTAATTTCCACACTTTATGATTAAGATTTAACCTTGCTCTATTAAATTACCAAAGAATCGGAAATTCAATCGATATTTTAGGACAAATTGAAGAAAAATTATGTGCCCGAGCTAGCTTTGATCCACAGATACGAACGATCAACACCTCATTTGTTCTCGTACAATTCTATTCTGATGGAGAGAACGAAGGCAGGGGCTTCCTTTTGGTTTACAATACTATCGGTAGGCAATGAAATCACTTATCTATACAAGGGTACATCATTAAAAATAAATGAATTTGTTTGTATTATGAAAGATCGATGAAAAACAAGGTTTGATAAATCTTTAGAACTCTTATCTTGTTGATTTTAGAACCAACAACAACAACATCAGAACCTACAACAACAATAGAACCTACAACAACAACATCAGAACCTACAACAACAACATCAGAACCTACAACAACAACATCAGAACCTACAACAACATCAGAACCTACAACATCAGAACCTTCAACAACAACATCAGAACCTACAACAACAACATCAGAACCTACAACATCAGAACCTTCAACAACAACAACATCAGAACCTACAACATCAGAACCTTCAACAACAACACCAGAACCTACAACAACATCAGAACCTACAACAACAACATCAGAACCTACAACAACAACAACAGAACCTACAACAACACCAGAACCTACAACATCAGAACCTACAACAACATCAGAACCTACAACATCAGAACCTACAACAACATCAGAACCTACAACAACATCAGAACCTACAACAACATCAGAACCTACAACAACATCAGAACCTACAACAACATCAGAATCGACAACTTTTGATAAATCCACATCTAGTTCATTTCTAGCTTCCTCTTCTACAACGTCAACAACAGAAACCAACTGGTTAACTTCGAGAAGTGAAGTGACGTTTGAAGCAGTGATAGTTTTAGCTGTGTTCTCCTTCTTGGTTTTAGCTATAGGTATTACTGCCACAACTGTGTTTTGTTTTTCTGGGAAACACACTGCACAAAAACATGGTCCTTCCTTGTCTACAGATTCCAAATCTCCGAGCAGACACTGGAGTGACTGTTTTGATGAAGACAATATTGTTTTCAATCAGTCGTACAGAGCATGACAAATACTAGTAAACAATATTAAACACATTAAATATTTTAAGCATTTATTTGTAGGTGTTTTCCCCAACAATCTATAATTTGAGCAGGTGTGTTTATATTTTGTAACTGTTTTACAATGAAGAGTACACATCATCCTTTGACAGAAGATTGATTGAAGAACAGATAAATAATACAATTTTCTTCAGAAATCAGCATCTTAGATCATAAAATGTTTGCATACATTTATTTTTAAAATGGATGTCATAACGAACCTAGCTCAGCAGTCTACAAGAGAAATACTTAGTATACTTTTAAAAACAGAATCAGACAAATAATGATAATGATGGTGTAAAATGATGATCTATTATAAATCCTACGTATTTTTAATTGTCCTAATCCTAATTATCATCAGGTGTTGGTTCCGCCAGTTCAGTTTGTTCCGTATTTTCGGAGGAGATTGGTTCCACAGTTGTTTGTTCTGAAGCTGGTTCCTCTGTCTGAACTGGTTCGTTTGATTGAACCAGAGGTTTGTTTGGAAATATTGGAGGAAGTTTGGGGACTTGGTCATGCGCACGATCATCATTTTCTTTGGTCATTGATGTCTGGGGCCCTGCATTGAAAGATTAAGTTCACGTTATTGACATTGTCTTGTTGATTTTCCAACAATATAAGACTTTCAATAATTCCATTCATTCTTTTAAAACTGTACCACTAATATTGTATCATAAGCAACGACAACGCACGAATTGGATTATTTTTCATTAAAAGTCAAACTTACGGCTTTTGGTCTCCTCTGTGTAAACTTCCAATTCCCTAATGTAAAAACACAGAGCCATGGATTAGGTACTTTTTAAAATTTCATTTTATCATTGAGGCAGTAAATGAATACCCGGTTATAATTTAAGATTTCAATAGTTAAATTGTCTTCATACTTACATCATTCGTATTTTATTCTTGTATTTTTTGTATATAATGAAGATAACAAATGCAATAGCGGCAACAAGAAGAATCCCCAGTACAATCAGGAAGTAGTAGAACCCGCTTCCTCCTCCCTCCTTAGTTATTACTACAAAAGAAGAAAAGGTCACAATTCCTTGCTAAGCGGTGGCAATGGAAACCAAAAGTCTCTGTAGAGACTGAAGCTCTACTGGTTTGTACTTATAACAAATGAAAAGAAAAGCAGCAGTTGGGACTTGAAACTTTACAACAGCACTAAATAGAATAAAAATGCTTGATTGAGCTCTTTTTGAGGCAAGATATTGCAATAAGACTACAGCTGTAGGAGTAGCTTTTAATAAACGTCTACAGTATTTTCAATTTTAGAAACCATGGCAACACCGATCATTGAAATCAAAAACCAATATACAGAATTATGTATCTTAGTGTAGTCTCCTTGTGTGCCAGTTTATATTGCAATCAGACCAAAACTGTAGGAGAAGTAGCATTTTGAAAGTATTTCACAGAAATTTCTAATTTTAGTAACCACCGCAACACCGTTCATCGAAATAAAAAAAATCGATATACAGAATTATGTATCTTAGTGTAGTCTACTTGTTGCCAAGTTATATTTATATCAGACCAAAACTGTAGGAGGAGTGGCATTTTGAAAGTATTTCACAGAAATTTCTATTTTAGTAACCACAGCAATACCGTTCATCGAAATCAAAAACCGATATAAAGAATTATGTATGTTAGTGTAGTCTACTTGTGTGCCAAGTTGTATTGAAATCAGACCAAAACTGTAGGAGGAGTAGCATTTTGAAAGTATTTCACAGAAATTTCTATTTTTAGTAACCACGGCAACACCGTTCATCGAAATCAAAAACTGATATAAAGAATTATGTATCTTAGTGTAGTCTACGGTCAGACCAAAACTGTAGGATGAGTAGCATTTTTTTGAAAAATTGTTTACAGACAGACAGACGGTCGGAAACATTACTATCGCATAAGCTCTTCTAGTCTTTGACCAGTAGAGCTAAAAATCCAGGATTTCAAATGGGGCATAAATAAGTTTGCATTGTCAGACGGTTTGTTAACAAGTTTGGATTTTTCTTGTACTAGTATTTAATTAAAAAAAATAACAACAGTTTAATAAAATCAACATTTTACATTACATTACTACAAATCCTGTTATCTCTGCTTGATTAACGTGGGATGAGATGTGTTATTGTTTTGTTTACGTTTTATCGGGAGTGTTCGATTGGCTAACAATAAAAACATCACTGGTTGATTTTGCTTCCTTACAATTCTATTCCCTCCCTTTTAATTGTAGTTTTGATTTCTTTTTCTTTATCTTACCGTATTATATTTTCGCATCTTAAAGGTATCTTAACTTCATAGAGTGCACGTATGTATGCCAAACAAACACAAAAATTTGTAGGTTTATTATTCAAGTTTCTCTAATCACCGTTCTATACCAATCTGTTTATTGAAAAAATATCTATAGATACCGCACGTAGCTGTCTGAGATGTCATAGTATATTTTATTCCTTGGTTGAATACATAAGTGCTAGTTTGGTTGGAATACTGGCAAAACCCTGGGTACTCGGTTGCATACAGCGTTGAACCAATCGTTTGAGAGGCCTAGTAAAGTAAACAGAATCAATATTTGATTACATAAACACTATAAAACAAATGAGAAAAAAATTGATTTCACCCCAAAAAAATTGGTGCAATGTGCACATCAATTGCTTACGTAACAGGTTGATCTGTAAGTACTACTTCCGGTGACAGAAGTATCATTGTTCCATACGATGGTGTAGGTGATTCCCCCGCTTGTCTGGGAGTGAAGGCAGTAAAAATCACCTAATGCTGTAGAATAAATCGTAAATAAAAACACTTTTTAGCAAGTATGAATAAGATTTATTGTATTTACATATATATATATATAAAATCATGATGTAAATTATACACTGTAAAGCATGATACATTTGGTTTAAAGCTGAAATTTTACAACGCACTGTTAAATTTTAATTCAAATGCCAATTAGTGTATCGAATAACCAATGACATTGATATCACATTTCAACAACAATTAAAAGTTCCTGATGTATTTCTTAATGATGAAAAATTTGAAAGGCGGTAAACAGAAAAAGCTGAATGATGAAAAATGGTTATCAATCTCATAAATCCAGGAATGATTACAAATCGTTAACAGGGCAAAAACACGGACTTCTGGACACCAGGAGGAGTAAGTATCCTCAATCAACCGGTTACATCCGCGTCTGTTATAATAGCTAAACGACGAAACCTATATCTTTGTAATTAAAAAAGGGGCATAACAAGTGGTGGAAAACGTGTCAGTCAAAATAAGACCAAACGTTAAGCTGTATTTGCGAACAAGTTCAATATAACGACCATAGAATTTGTGAGATGTTGACTTTAAATGAAAGGTTGAAAACCCTATAACAATAACTTATCTGTCAGTAGCCTGTCATTATTTCAAAGTAATTTGTACTTATATTTTCGAGTAAAGAATCAGCTGGGAGACATTAGCACTATAAACCAGTGTTAAATATAGCTGAGTCTATGAAATGGCCATGAAATGAAATCGTTGATAATTTTCTCCGAGATAGTAATTTTTTAAGGATCTGAATCAAACTTTCACCTTTATCATTCATTTATCGTTTAGCGTATTGAATCTGAAAACAGCATTCCCAGTTCAGAAACTTACTTGAAAATGTCAAACCCGAAGCACATGCTTCGTATGTTAATTTGAACGTGAGTTTTTGGGAGCATCCATCAAATGAATTTCCAGAGCAAGTTGTTGACTCGTCTGAGTTTTTAATTGTCACGGTTGAATACGCTGCCAAAAGGTTAGGAGGACATGATGCTTGAGCAGATCCAGTGTATACTTCACCTTTAACATGAAAACAAAAGTAAGAATAATACCATATCATTATCATAGATCATGTTTCAATCTAGTGAGGATACTTAAAATTTAGTCTCGAGAAAATGCCACAAACTTCTGACTGGCTTACTTTTGTTCGATACGATACATTCAGTTCTAAACGTTTAAGCTACTTGCTCATGTAACGAATATACTTTTAAAGTGTTAGTACAGTTGAAAAGATTATCCGATGAGTCCTGTGGTTTTAATGATATAAAAAACCTTATTTTTGATAACAGTTCGAAATATTTTATTTTCTCTTTCATCCTCTGCGACATGCCCACCTACAGTACCAAGAATTGCTCAAAATAAGTATTACTTCTCATGACAATCTGAAATTAAAGATGGTTATTGCAATTCAATTTTTAAAGCCCTCTTTGCCTACCTCTTTTTGAAGTCCTACATGTATTAACCAAATGAGAAACGAAAGACAAGAAGTATTTGGTATAGTATTCGCAACTTCTGCCGAAACTTCAGAGCATAAAACTTGACATTTAAATCCGCACAGAACACTATAAACGATTTTAGTGGCGAAATGTAGTGGTATACTCACCGTCTTTAACTAAAGTGATAAAAGTGCCCTGTTCATAGGGAGTGGCCCTGTTACAGGCGTCGCTCATACTGATGGTAGATTGAGTCATTATTCCGTATACGTAGTCATTGATGCTACTCTCCATCGTTGTTCCTATGTAATATTTGTATTTTGTGGCTGATATTCTCTGGATATCCAGACAGAGGTAGGAATCTATCAGCTGACCAAATGCAATGACTGCAATGGGAGACCTTTAAATGAATGACAAATGAGGTTTTTAAAGTCCACCTTTTCAAAGTCTAAGAGAGTTTTTTTTTTTCCAAATGTAGGTCTAACTCTAAATTCATGAGATCCTAAATGTAGGTACTAAAGAAAGGTATTTTCAGAGGAAATACACGTGATGCATGAAAATCCTAGCACTCATTGAGAAGTGATCAAAGTTAAAGTCTGTTTTTTATTTTTTCAAAAGTACACCTGACACCAAGATTAAGCTCAAAAGGTCAAAATATTGGTTCCCAAGGCAGAAATGAGCACATGAAATACAAATAAGAAATATAAAAGCCCTTAGCTCCAGCAATTCAAAACCTATTGTCAATGGTGGAGTATGGTAATTCTTTTTCAAAAATACCTTAAACTTTTAGGTCAAGATCAAGAGGTCAAATATGTTGGTACCCAATGGAAGGTCTTGTCACACGTGAAATATGAAAGTCCTGCAGCACCAATCATTCAAAAGTCATGGGCATGGTTAAACCTTGCGGACAAACAAACAGAAAGACAGCTAGACAAGCAGACCAAAAACCGAATGCTTTGGAATTTTTAGATTAATGTCCTGATCATAAGAGAGGCTTTCGTTTGATTTGTATTTATCAGAGACCTGCAGAGTTTGTGCATTAGCAAGATGTCTGTCGTCCTTCCTGCTGTCTGTAAGCAAATTTTCAAAACGCTACTCCTCCAACAAATTCAGTAAGACTTAGTTCACAAAAGACTAGTATACTGAGATGCACAATTCTGATAGTGCTTTTTTTTAAACGACTAAAGGTAAATACAAATAATTTCTTTGGAATTCTCTCAAAACGCTGCTCTTCCTTTTTGGCCTTATTTCAATAAGAAGTGTTGCCATTTGAAAGTATACATGTACATGTAGAAAAATCTCTGAACTTTTCAAACTCCTTCTCCCCCTATAATTTTGGTTGTACAACACCAACTTACTTAAGTAAGTAAACGGATCCACTCTTTTCCTGACAAACAAAGTCGAGAGAGGAAACCAATGCAGACATTTGTATGGGGTATTCAGAGATCGTTGTGTTGCTAAAAGTCAGAGCCCCCTTATGGGAACTGTGCCAAGTCCCCCGAAGTTCATCTGGAAATGTGCATGCTGCAGCTGAAAAATACATTATACTCATCATATGTTACAGATCAAAGAATAATCTTTCCATGTTTGGTAGTAACGACAATAAATGGGATACAAAAAAATTCGGTTCATATAACTTGATAGTGTCTTGCTGGAGAACATCGTCGCGAACGACGGCAAAAATGTACGATCCTCTCCCATGCGGACTCCGGACCGTGGCTTGAGACTATGCCTGGAGAACAGCTCCAGCTTTTTAAAAATGGATATAATTTATGAACATACATGTATAGTCCCAGGGTGTTTTCAAGCAGAATGGCTCTCCAGTATTTTGTACAAAATCTAAATTTTCAATAAGTTGAAAATAACGTCTTCTAAACACAATCAAAAATCAATTTATTTTCTTTCAACTATACATTTCACATCTTTTATCAAAGAGCTAGGTTCACTTTATGCATAAAATGACCCTGTTCTTATATCAATTTATAAACTATCACCCTGTTTCCCATTTCATATATATGAAAATAAAGTAAAGACTTGGTGCTTTCATTTCCTATAATAAAAATTCTTTTTGAGAATTTGAGTATTGGAAAACAGGCTTTGAGAAAATGCAATGTTCTTGAATATTGCAGAAAACTTATGTATCTGACTACCTTCAGCAAAGAATTAAAATATGAGCACAGCCCATGATCGATCCAAAAATTTAAACATGTTTTTTTTTAATCTTCAGAAACAGATCTTTCATAATGTAATTGCATATTTTGGATCAGAGGTTCATCGTCGGAAACCCACGGGTGATCTCGTCTTTACTTATCACCCGTGGGCAAACTCGCTGAAATATTGCCGTAAAATATGCTAATTTGTTGTTTTTAGTCAACCAATCAGAAAGTTGGAACTCTTCAGTTTTAAAAACACGTTTATTACTTTGTTATTTATGGTAAATATTTTGACGCTCGTTAAAACGTGCGAAGTTTGATTTAAAACAATGAAAGTCAATTCGTACAGGTCACTGACATTAATATCCGCCAGATATTATGAAGGAGTACCTCTTTTTAACTGCAAAATGCACCGGTGAGTGGATTTATCAGCTGTGTTAACTACGGAATGGGTTTTTCATGTTTTTGGCAATGCAGAACATGCATACGTAACGTGAACTGTGACTCGTTGTTTCGCATCGCGACTCTGTGATGCGGCCAATCAGATGACCCATGCATATTTAATTACATACGACGATTTTTCGGCGAGTTTGTCCACGGGTGATAAGTAAAGACGAGATCACCCGTGGGTTTCCGACGATAAGTAAAGACGAGATCACCCGTGGGTTTCCGACGATGGCAGAGGTTGTGCTCTGTATGAAATATTGAAAAAAAACACCTCAACTTTAGGCCATTTCAAAGGAATTTACAGGATATGGGAAAAATGACGCATTTTATGACGTCATATTGCATTGACTAGAGGGAAAATTACGTTATGTTCAATAGATACATGGTCATCAACAGTCCAAGTGATAAAAACATCATTTCAACCTAAAGTGAGCAGTTTTGATTTTTTGAAATTATCAGGGCCAAAAAAGGCCCTGAGTAGCTCTTGCTCTTTATATTTTTTTTGTAGTACCCTAAGCTATTCTTAAGAAAGTTAGATGTACGTATTGCCTGAAAAAAAAAATAAAAAGAGAAAATATTAGGGAATAATATGTTGCTTTCAACAGAAATTATTTGCGCTGAAATACGAAATAATATTAAAAATGATGACTTCTACAATAATAATTTAAAAAATCATTAAAACAATACAAATAGGATTACACACTTTTCATAATGCCAATCCTTTGGAATGTCATTTTAAAAACAGCTTAAAAATTCACCACAATCGTGAAAGGTTGACATAATCATATAATTGTTCAGGATATTTTAAATTCTAGTATAACTCTAGACAAAATCCGACACAGATATGCATTGAAAATCTTTATTCGATAATCTCGCGGTCGACTGTCGGACAACTATACAAAGTACGCTTAAATTGCGTATGCTCATTACCAATTCACAAAAATACACCCAAAAGAGCTCAATGTGCAGTATTTCGTTATACTAGCCTTATATATACGTATAGATAGTTTTCGATAGGCCTGAATTTAGCGAAAGTTACCTCCCGTTGGCCGCCATATTGGAGGTCGACTCAGTGATTTTCCCTCTTTGTCTTACCAAGTTTAAGAAAATATAGCAGAAATATTTGGTGGAAAATCTTTATCAAATAATTTTTTTTAAATACAGGAGGCTTCTAAAAATTTATATACTTCAGAAAGATAATGATTTCTAATTCAAAATAGCAAATATAAAAATTTTAAATTGGTTGAACAATGAAGGAATATGATCATTTGGACCTCCAGTATGGCGGCCAACGGGAAGTAACTCTTGGTCAATCGAAAACTATCTATAATATACGGATAAAAAAGTCCTTGTTAACATAGGCGATCATGGTTTTCTTCTGGAGGAACTTAACATTGTATACCAGTACATAACGCAATAATTTACAACAAAACACCGCTTCCCCGTTTATACATTTATACATCTAGCCTAAACGTGAAAAAGAGCAATTTCCACTTCACTATGTATTTCATATGACCTGTTCATACTTTACACGGTTGTTCTAGATCTAGAGTCGATAAAATTTGTTCATAAATATTTACGTTTTAGGCATGAAGCATCAAGGGAGGGAGCCCCCCTTTTCTATATATAACTTATTATTATGATTGCCCCCCCCCCTTCTCTTGAAGTATAGTCAAATAAGAGTATTGTAATATGTATGCGTAAATATTGGAACTGAACAAAAATGGAACCCCCCTCCCCCCTCCCCCGAAATAGGATTTTCGGGTTTAGACAATAGTACGTCCCTGTGTTGAATATGGAAAGACCATATGAAGTCATGAAAACGCGTTTGTAAAGAACGAGTTATACTTTATACCGGTATATTCAACTTAGGTAAGATGTAATCTCTATGTTGTATCCAATTCAAATTCCAAATGCAAAAATTCTTAAGAGATGACTTTGAGAGTCAAAAAATTAAGTATAACAGTAATGCAACCGACTCGTTATAAAGCATCACAAGCACAGAGGAGACAACTTACCGACATTGCGTATCAGTAGTGTAATTATCAAACTATACAAAATATAACTCCCCATAATTTATGGCACTTTGAATTGTCAGATGCTGTATACCAATCCGGCGTTTACTGTCACAAGTTTACGGATTCCAAAATGTTATAAGTCATTTTCCGTAAATGCACACCTCTCAAGTCTGTTGTCAATGGTGCAGAGTTGGCGCGTGCTTTTTCCCCTTGCTCGTTAATCGTCTGTGACCTCGGATTTGTTTCCGATTAAGCAGATTATAATTTCACGAGTAGATTTAAGGTCATTTGTAGCCACTCGTCTTCTTTAATTTTTACTACGATTCTTTAACATTACTTTTCCAAAATTTAACATTTTTAGATGAAATAACGTTTTACGAGTACTCTCTTAGTCTACAATCACTGAAGTCACTATACAAAAAAAATAAAAAAAAAAAATGTTGGGTCACAATTTACAAGCGTAACCTTTTTGTCTTTCAGAAATGCAAGGTTCAGCAGCCGATTATATTGATATGTCTGAGATTTCGATTTTTTTGCCTAGTAATATTACGATAATCTTCTGCTTGACTACACCCAGAAAAAAAAATGAAAAGTTCAGATATTAGGTCCAACACTAGACAAGCTAATTCAGAGAATCTGTGTCCCCCGCTTATGGAAAAAAGAAGAGCATACAGGGGTAAATGGGTCGGGTGGACAGTATACAATTTCATTTTAAAAGCTTATTTCTTGAGATATTGCTTTGAAATGAAAGCTTTACATACACACAGAATGTATGAATTTATGACCTTGGCATTTGACCTAAAAAAAAATAAACCTTTTGTAATAGTGTTAGATTTGTATAATAAAGTTAGAGAACTTGCCAGAGTATTTATTTTAACTTTTATTTAACTTATTAAAAACTTAGATCCACCCCTTAGTTCTCCCTTACCTGTATTTCCTGTACATATGTGTATATATACCCCAGGGCATAGATCAGGTATTTTGGAAGTGGACATTGTGATTTTGGGTTTTATTGGTCATTGATTTGAAAGGTCGGATTCGATTGGTTTTCTTGGTTAGTCTGGATTTTTCCCGCTTAGTATGAGTATTCTTTGTTCTATGGGTTGATCAGACAAGACCTTGATTTTGACATAGACTTGAGACTGAAGAATTCTTTCTCTGGTAAGTTACTAATATTTTCTTATTTTAAATGTTCATCCTATAGAATGCAAAAGCTATTTCCATTTGCACATACTAAATTGAATATATGATTTTTGAGAGAAAGTTATTTTATGATGTAAATTTATTATTGGTTACAAGATCAATATGAAGTATTTTCTAGAAGTAATTTGATGTTAATCAGATTATGTGTTTTTATGATGATCAAAGATATTTTTGATTATATTGTTCAAAGTGAGCAATTAATTGGTATATTTTTAAGAGATTATATTTTTAAGCATTATTGTATTAAATTACAGATCACCATTCATATAGATATACATTTTGTCAGTCAGACAATTTATTGGGAAAGCCTGTTCCCACAGAATGGTGAGATTTATATGTTTTATCTTGGATATCTTTTTATGATTATTTTGGGAGAAATATGTAAAGATTTATATATTCAAGAGTTATCTCCCTTTGATGATAATTGTGTAAACTTGGGATGATAATCTATTATCTTTATGTTACATGTAAAAGTAATGATTGAACATGATGTGTGTGATATTTACATTATATTTATTGTTGTTTTATGATATTTACAGGGCTATCTATGTATATTCCATAAGTCACTTCACTGTGAATAAATATATTCAAAGAACCTGACAGGAGTTTATGTGTCATTGCCATACCCCCTGTTACATTTGGCGCCCACGTTGGGACACAGTGGCCTTGAGTGACCGAGGATACATCAGGAGCAGACTGGAGACAAGTGTATGGTGTGTGTGGTGCCTTTACCGATCCATGGAGATCATCAGACCGTGACCCATGAACTTACCAATGGTGATTGCGTTAATACACCTAAGTTACAAACTTTGATCCGCGCCTAACAAGTGACATTCCGTAGGATCATCTGTGACACCGGTGTAGTGCATTTGACAGTGTG